GTTTTGCCTGCATTAATACAGATGTCGCCTTACGTACCTTCAAGCTCGGCTGCTTGGGACAGTATTGAAAGGTTTTCATTTAGGTTGTTGGTGCTGGTACAGGTGGAACAGTAACTGGTATCGCGAAAAAAGTCAAGGAAAGAGTCCCTACTTGCCAAGTAATTTTTATCTCATTAGTAGTTACTTGAAAAAAAAAACACGTAAGAATGCCTTTTAAGGTTGTGGGTGTAGATCCAGAAGGATCAATCCTGGCTGATCCAACAAAAGGTGAAACTGCTTTCTATGAAGTAGAAGGAGTAGGCTATGACTTCGTGCCGGGAACCCTGAATAGAACCGTTGTTGACAAGTGGCTGAAGTCCACTGACAAGGTAGATTTTTATCTTTGAGAGCACAATTGAAAACAGCTAGTTAATCTAGGTTAGACTAGCGTCTAGCAGTTTTAGTCGACAGCTACAGGAACTTTCACAGCGCTTTCGCACAGCATTTCCGCTGGGTCTCCCACGGAAATACTGCGAAAGTGCTGAGGAACTCGTGCAATAAATTTCTGAAAATTTCTCCAATTTTTAACGAAACATAAATTGGCTCTATTGCTTCAAATGCTGCTATCATATTATACAGTTTTGTAAGTTATATTTTAACCTGTCACTTTCAGGAATCCTTCGAAATTGCCAGAGACATGATCATGAAGGAGGGTATCCTCTGTGGTGGATCATCCGGTTCGAATGTCCATGCTGCTCTGGAGGTTGCTCGTGGACTTCCTGAGGACAAAAATGTCGTAGTCGTTCTTCCCGATGGTATCAGGAATTATCTGTGAGTTCTTTGCCAGTGTTTCTTAGTCTCAAAAAACAAGGGCATGCCAGGGTTTCTGAGAAAAAATATGTTTTTTTAAATAATTATCCGCCTTTTCTTTTACTGTTCAAATCAAGAGGAGTAGTGCTCAGTCAAGTCTGGGTACTTGTTGATGTAACGGGATTGACGGCTGGAAGGCGACGGCCTGCATCCGCAATGCAGTCTGCGTCTCTCTCGCGGGGGTGCTCTCTGATCATTCTATACCTCGAAGCCCCGCCTTCCAGCCGCCAATCTTGTTGAAGCAAAGGATATCACTAAGCCATTGCTCAAGCAGCTCTTATGACTGATTTTCGTGGCTGAGATTCAACCCCAAAATTTCGAGATTTCTTTGGATGGGCTTGCGGGCGGTCTCAAATACGGTTTGGGCGAGAGTCTAGTTGACTTTTTTTTGCCCAGAGATGAATTATATAAGCTGCAACATGGACAGTGATCTGACAGAGGCTTTTCAACTAGTTTTTACATATGAGAAGAGGTACTTAGTTATTTCGGGTAATTTATTAATTGATATTGTTACTAAAAAAGTTGATCTGACGGGGCTAATGGACGTTATTGTGTAGTGTATGTAGTAACCTTCTGTCCTCATTGGTGGTAATCTGGAATTTTTCTAGACCCTTTGTAACCTGGCTATAAATTGTCGGTTGAAAGATATTATGGTCCACTAGTGGGTCGTAAACCTGATGAAGTGAGAAAATGTTTAAAATGGCAAAAATAAATCGGTTCAATTCAAAAATGGCAGAAATCGAAAGAGAAGAGCCTGGTTTAGAGTTTGTAGAATGCAAAGAAGAATTGAACTTATATTCCTAGATGATAGAGAAGTATGCTTTTAAGTCCTCTTGAATGATTTGCATTTTTCTTGTACAAAATTCATAAAAATATTTCTAGCACGAAGTTCGTGAACAACGAATGGATGGCCGTTAGACACTTCAATGTGAACGAAAACATCTAGATCATCGACTGCTGGAAATTGCACAAAGCGCCTTTGATAAAATTCGAGAATTCTCTTATTGTCAGTAACTTCTCATAATCTATGTTGCAAATAACATCGTGCTACATATTCTGTGAATGAAAGCACTGAAATAGTATTGTTTGCGTTGTTGTGCCATCTATTTCAACTGCTGTTGGTTTATCTTTTCATGCGTGGGATTCACTTGATAAAACATTGAAAGTATCTTGTTATGTATAGTACAAGAAAAAGTAAAAAAAAACAACATGCTGGAGCTTCTTTGCAGAATGGGAACCTTGAGTCGGGGGGAAAAGGTTCCATATCCCATATAGCTCAGAGGCATTATGTAGTGGCTTTGTTTATCCGTTTTTATTTGGAAATATCTGGGAATTCTTTGATCCATTGCACAATTGGAATTTTTAAATTTTTTCTAGAAATTCGACCCTAAGTTTTCTGTCTGTTTACCGTACTGTTCGTTGGATTGATGCATCCTCAGGTACGGTGTTGGGCGAGAATACCCGAATTTTTTGACCTATCCCTAGGCAAGATTTTGATTGGAGCGTAGTTCAAAAAAGATTTTAATTTGAAAAAAAAGAAATGATCTATGCTCAACGATTCTTGCATGTCTTTTTCTTTCATTCAGTCGCATAGGTCTACACTTTTCCACTTGATCCATTCCATCCAGTTTGCTATTGGTTGGATCAATTACCTGACCAATGGCGAAGCGGATATCGACTTGTTCCCTTCATTTGATCCACTTCGCTATTGATCAGTTCCGTGATTCAACCAATAGCGAAGCGGATGAAGTATTCTGTGGATTAGGTGTGGCGCGAGCCATACCATTTTTGAGCTTCTATCACACCACAAACACACTGAAATGCTTTTTGAGAGAAACATGGAATTTCGCACCATTTCAGCATTTATTTGCAGCTCAGCTCGCAATAATCATTCACAGTGCAGAATATGTAATGAAAAGAAGAAGATGAACATGTGAAGTAAAGTACAGAATGAGAGGAGAACAAA